GCCGATATATGTGAAACCACACTGACAAATTCTCTCAGAATTCGTATCAGAAATGGATCTTTAATAATCGAACTATGAATTTTACTGACAGGTAACAAAATTACTAAACTTCTGAAGAGCCTGAGCAATTATTTTAACTGATAGAAGGATGGAATGGAATGACGACAAGATTGTTATGGCTTTCTGTAATAGCAGAATTATTTTTTGATAGAAGATGAAAAATTTTAAAGGCTTTTCAATGACCATAAGAGAAAATCTCCTATCAATGGCAGTCAATTTCAAATAATTGGGCTCATGAGAAAACAAAGATTTTAAACAAACTCTGACAGCACAATATAAACAGGAGTAAAAAGTCAAGTTCCCCCCCCCCCAGCATGGTGCAGGAACATGGTTTACATTAAAAATCAGTACTGAAATCAAATTCATGGTGGATAATTAGATCATAAAGAAAGGAGGAGAACAGTCACAAAGCACGAATGCGTCATCAGTGTAGCGAATCTTGAGCAGAAAAGAGACTTTTGATGTAATTTGATCTAAAAATAGAGCATGTATATATCAGTAAATATGGACCGAGTGATTACCTATAACTCACCCTTCAATTTGGCAAATCCATTTATTTAAAAAATAAAGTGGTTTTGACTGAAAGAAACTTTAGTGAGAAAAATCAACTCAAATTTCAATATCCAGGAAATGAAAACTACCCAAAGCTAGGTTAAGGCAAAGCTAAGGTTGCCTTTTTGTTACACTGGTGTGCTTATCAACCAAGCTCATCTTTAGATATTGCAATTTATGATATTCTAATTATGGCAGAGAATTTCACTGTTCTAACAAAATGGTTTATTCAGTGTTTTACTAAATTTGAAGTCTACATCTCAAAGAGAAAGAATTTCTTAGTATCAGTTGAAATTTCCAATGTGGAAAAATTCTGCTTTGCTTGCACAGATATTCTAAAATGGGATCACACTTAACACAAAGGCTAAAAATTTAGGGTTATGAGGCATTATCAATTTTTTTTCATAAGATTAATTAATAAGTGTGTTTTGCATTCTGTTCCTTCTTTTATTCCTAAAATAGCATTTTCAGCAGCATTTAGTAATACTTTTTGATCTATTTTATTCACAAGTGATTGTTTTGTCAATCAGTAAAAAAAAAAAAAAAAAAAAAGACACTTATGCCGCATTTTAATGAATTATAAATGGAGAGGTAAAATTTCAGACCTTGCTGCTATGTCAGAATCACAGCTCTCCAGTTATGGGTTAAATAATAATTTCGTCTAGAATAGCTAGCCAGTATTGTTCAGGGCAAGCAACTACTTAAATATCAAAATATGAAGATTGTGTCCATAATTATTGATATTAAATTTTTTTTTTATTCTTCAGTAAAATTTAAAACTTAACTCCCTTTTTAATACCAGCAGTTAGATATTTACAAATGTGCAGATTTGATAAGCTAACAAGGTTTTATGATAATTCTATTAGTAAAAGAAGAAACTGAAGGAAGAATTGATTCATGCATTTACTAAAGAAAGGAATGACTAGTTCTACAATCAATCCCATCCAATAAAAATCAGTGCCTCAAGGGATTACTTAGCTGAATTACTTTTTTACAATATAACAAATGAGAGCATACCTTTCAAACAAGCATAACAAGGAAAAAGCACTAAAACTACAGATTCATGACTTTGCCAACAGACTATTGCAAAACTTCAGAAAGTGCAGAATTCTAGAAACGTTTTGATGAATTTAATGATATCTATATATATAAAGAATTTTTGCTGAATTTAAAACTCTTTTTATTCAAAAGATTAATTTTATGTTTAAATGAATATCATGAAATATTAAGTCCCCCCCGAAAAAAAATATTATAAAACAATATGCCTGAAAAATGAAAACATTATTCTGCTTGACAGCAACCACGCTGCTGTATAATTTAAGCGCATATTAGGAAAGCTTTAAATTTAAGGAATAATTCTGCAAAACTAGCATCAGAAAGATTTTATCAATTAAATTTCACTCTCATTTATTTTGGCCATTTAAATGTTTAATTGATGATATAATTCTTGAATATGAAATTTTTTTTTATTTGACTCATGATACATTATTTATTTATTTATTTAGGTATTATTCCATCATACAGATAGTTCTGTGCTTAAGAATTCTCCAGTAATGACTGGTGACTATTGCCAAAATTTCCGCCAGCGGCCAAGGGGATAATATGATAACTTTATTTATTTGACGGCATGCATGATTTTGCTCTTCAAAATTTGTTTTTCACAATCACATTTTTCAATACAATGCTTAATTTGTGAAATCTACTTTGTTCTGGAAATTCAGAATTTTTTTTAATGTAGCCAACATACAAAAATCTGATAAAGGAGCATTTCTAATACAGTGCATCAGAGACGATACAGTTTCTAATACAAATGTCACAAGAAGAAATAGTGGCAAGTACTTTTAAGCCGGATAAAGGGGTGGCTACATAGAAATATTTAATATCAGAATTTCAAATTCTGAAGAGCCTCGAGTATGGAATGATTTTCAAACCAATCAGTCATTAATGTTTGTGTCATCTATGTTCAGTTATTTGAACAATAAATGACAGAGTAAATCTTTACTCCTTTAAAGTAATGTATTTTTTCTGATTATGAAAAGTTTACATTTGTGCACCTGTGCAACATTTGCACATACCAAAATCGTTAGTCTTGCTTTGGAATCTTACACCAGTTATGTTTTTTTTAATGTAGCGCTCAGCAAGCTATTTCAAGCCATATACTGCCAGAAAAGACAAGATTAATGAGCATTATACTATGTTTGTTCTGGAGATAACATTCTGAAATTAATCAGTTTGATGGATTAATCTCCAAACTGTTCAACTACTTCAGTATCAGCTGAATCTTTTTCGCTTAAAATTTTTAAGTGCCTTAACATCATGCTGATTATTGTCATTGGCCACAGTTTGATGCCCCAAAATGCAGGTGTTTGAAAGTGACATGGTGGAAACTTGGTTAGGAGATAATCGCTTTTACAGCATACCTGCCTCTCCTTGAGTTCCATTCCTAGCAAGAAAGCAATTAAAAAAAAGTAATTAAAAAGAAAATCTGAAAGGTTTCAGATTTTAAATGATGTCCAAAGGGGCTTTTTTTAACATTTTGTGTGTTACCTTTAATTATTAACTATCATGTTCTTTGCACTTAAACCATAAAATTCAGTTAAGAGCAATTGCCAAAATAATTAAATGAGCAATATTGAATTTAACACACAGTATGCGCTGGAGATAAAATGTTTTTCTCAATGTTACCATTACACTTTGAATCACTTGTTAATCAGAAATTCGTTAAAGGTTTAGAAAAAATATGAAATTGATAATAAAACAAATTCCAAATTTGGGCTTCCAGATACCCATATTTGCAGGACGATTACGTCAATCAAAATTGGATGGCTCTAGGTACAGTTGTTTTATCACAATGCATGGAACATTTATGCAGATATTAATGCAGAACATTTATGCAGATATATACATTTATGAAGACTCTTCATTATTTAATTTCTTCAACTATAATACAGGTGATAATATTTGGTGGCAACAGTTTGAAAAGTGATACAACTTTTTAAAGATTTCAACGCAAAGTGCTAAAACGAAAACAATAGTCACCTCAGGGAGACAGCCACTTTGGACTAAGAAGCTGGTGCTCTGGCAATCCAGATATCAGGCCCTATTTGATACTTGAAATCCAGTTTTAGGACCTTGTACTGTATGATAAACATATCAGTAAGATTAAATCTTAGCTGCCGTAGCATTGGAACACAGGTATACCTAATAGTAATGGCTATCAGAACATAAATATTAAATTTCACCACTCAAGCTAAATTTCAAATTGTTCTTGCAGTGGGTCAACCAGCCTATTGAGAGAAAAAAATAATGCTACTGAAAAATAAAAATTTGAAAAAATAATGATCTAGGAGTGGGCCACCTTAAAATATATAAACTTTCTAATTCATCCCATTTAAGTACTAAATACAAAACGTTAAGAATACAGCTGAACAGAAATAAGACACTTTGGTAGAAAATGAAATATATCTTTTGGAAGAAAAATAATGAAATAAGATTCACCTTGTAATAAAATCAGTAAAAATGAGCTTAAATTTGCTTTTGTCAGACTAGTGGGGAAAAACATTTCCTGCTTACAAACTAGCAGACTATTGAATTTATGCTTTTCTAAGAAATTAGATAAAAATATCAACTAATCAGGTGTTATCTTATTATTTTCTTGATTTTGAAGCCTATTTTTTAACTTTGAAAACTGGTGGTTCAGTATATGTGTATTTACCCCACCAACTGCCCCCAAAACAGTGGCAAATCTCAGAAAACCTTATGACAATTCATACATGCGCATAAGTCCCGCAATAACTAACTTCATATGAGTATTAATTATGGTCAAAATTTTAAACCGCATTATACTTTTTTAAATGGCATACAGCCCTAGTTCAACTTTGTTTTGCATCATCAGTGATCTAAAATGCTCAATATTACAATAATTTCTTGAAATTTCAAAAAATTCTTTAATGAATAACTTTATGAAGTAACACTATTCATTTTTGAATGCTGTAAATAATATACACCAAGAACAAGCAGGTTTCTTATACACATTTCTCACTCTGAAAACATAAAAAGAAGAAATCCGAGCAAAAGTAACATCCAGACTACACAGATTAGCATTATATTTCCAGTTTAAAATATTTTGATGTTATTGCATTAAATACATTTTTTACACAAACATTATGGGATTACATTAAAAGATTTACCTACATAAAAAAGGGAAGAAACAGAATTTGTACAAACTACTGTTTAAATATGTAATTTCATTACCACTATTACAACTTCCTTTTAGAGACTACTACAATAAAAATGTCATTAATTTGGAAGGAAATGTTATGTTTAAGTACCTTTAAATCACTATAAGTTTAAAATATTATTAATATGACAAATCCTTCTTTAACTACCTGGCCAAGATGAAGAATGCTTTCCATCAGTTTTTTCTCCTCGTTAATCCAAAGATCTCTGTAATAAGAAAAGATGTATCATCATTTAAGAATTTAAATGCAACATTCTCATAAAACTTAAAGTACTGCATTTTCCTCTTTGCTATCAAAATACGAGACAGTTTTAATGAAATGAAGTACTGTATTTGCCGGCGTATAAGAAGCACCCCCTTTTTTATACACATTTTTGAAGGATAAAATTTTATTACTGATCACTGTAATGAATTTACAGTATTTTAAATAAAAAGTAATACAAATACAAAGTATTACTTTCAGCAAATACCCAATCTATCTGGGAAAGAACACCTTTTAATCTT